TAAAAGGAGCGATGTGTGACTTCCTGGGTTAGGACACTGCATGCACTATCACCGTTTCAAATCCCGTGTTTCCACCGCTGAGCAAGGCCCGTGGCCCCCAGCTGCTCTAGGGACAGGCCGACCCAGCTCTCTCAAATGCACATGAAATAAGTGCTGCTCAAACTGAACATGCATGGCTGGTGTTTGCCAAGCTGGAAGCTGGGTAGCGACTGGCTGGCTTCGTCAGGTTGAGCCCCGATTCCGGAATGTGCCTGGTTCCAACATCCAGATTTCCATTTTCTCCAGGTGACCCAGCACATGCGTCGCCCCCCCCGAACCTCTTTATCTCTGTCGCTGATCCAAGACCGGGTCGCTTTCAAAATGCAGCACTAAATGCGGTTGAGGAGTGGGGCGGCTATAAATCAAAGCGACTATGCAAGACAAAACAAACCCTGACCTTTCCTTTGGGGCGGGGGTGACACAGATTTATTGCCAATGAGCTCAGGACCAAAGTGGCCTGGGGCAGGTAGTAGGGGCTGTGATCCTCTGTTCCTCAGGACAGAACCTGCCCCGAGACTCAGTGACACTCCGGGGGCCACGGTGGGTGGGACTATGACCTGCTGTCAGTCAAAGGCGGGTGTGGATGGATGGAAACCTGCCCACTATTCGTCTGAAAGCTTCAGTAGTTCCTTAACCATAATGAATGACACAAAAGTGCTGTACCTAACTCGTCCTGCTGAGCACCGGACCACGGGGATTCCCGCCTAAACCGTGAATGGTCACGATACGTACTCACAATGAAGCAAATGGCGGTTTGTGCCCCCGCAAGCCACTGCCCACCCTCTGGGTGCCATCGGTCACTCGGGCAGCGCTCGAAATGGCTGCCCCGTGCCGCAGGGTACAGAGGAGAGCCTGAATCCTCTCCGGCATTCTCTCAATCTGCCCTGCTGGCTGTAATTAGGCTGCTAGGCTAAAGTGCTGGCAATAAAGGGCCATTTGTCAAGCGGGGTGTCACAGTACAGGCCCGAGGGAGAGAGGAAAGAGAGAGAGAGGGAGGGAGAGAGAAGGAGGGAGGGAGAGAGGAAGGGGGGCGGAGATAGAGAGGGAGAGAGACAGAGGAAGAGGAAGTGGCCACCTTTGATTTCTTTTTTTCAGGGTCAGACCCGAAGTTCAAATAAAGAGGCGGGAGAACAAAGTGGTCGCTTTAAGGACAGGCTGCCGCAGCCTCCAGGGCCGGGGGCCGGATCAGGTGACACGGGGAGGGGGGCTGTGACTCATGAGGTCCCGGGAGGGGCCCCGGCGTGGTGTCAGCGCATTATTAACAGGAGTATTACTAATCATTCCAGCACTGGAGAACATTCCAGTAAAGCAGAAGGTTCATGAGTAAATATCCCCTCAAATGATGAGATACCAGAATGGGCTGCATTTATTTATGTAGTGAGAAAAATACATTTAAAACTCCCTCCTCCCAGCAAGGTTACCGAGGTGACTAATTCAGGTTCAGAGAGTACAAATCCAGATCAAGATTTTGTTTCAAACAATCAGCTGAGCATAAAGAGTCACAGCCATTACTCAGCTGGTTGGTTGAAACAAAATCTTGGTCTGGATTTTTATTCTCTGGACCTGAATTACCCACCTTTGGGTGGTTCTATTCTGATCTGAAAACAGCCCCTTCTCCCCCACAGAAGAGGGGGCCCAGGCACACAGACGTTAATCAGGACGTGAGATCACAGCCCAGCAGGCAGTGGGGGATCGCGGCCCTCCCGCTGAGGCACCCTCTGGTGATACTCTTTAGGAGGAGCCGCTGCAGCCATTGGCCCCCATCGGGGAGCCTACCTCCAGCGGGGTAGCGTGCAGGGTGCTGGTTCAGGAAGTCCAGCTTGTCCTTCAGGTCCTCCTCATTCTCCTTCTCCCACTGGGCGCCGGTCTGCCTCCACAGGTCAGCAGCCAGGAGCCTGAGAACGCAGAGGGTGGATGTTCAGAGGCCTCGCTCAGCTCCATCTCCTCCAGCGGCAGAGGAGATGTTTTGTGTGAGCGGCCAACCGCTCGCCCACTGCCCATGGGTACCTGATCTCTGGGATCTCGTCGCTGAAGCTGCTCAGAAGGAGGGGAATCAGCTTGTGGAAGTAGGAGTACCTGTCACGCAAGTTCAGGAGCCAGTGTCCCACCACCAGTGTCACGCTTTTTCTCACCTGGGGGGGGGGGTCAGAGGATGGTGGTGACTGAAAAGCAGTGGAAAACTTCTCGCCCACCCCAGCCTGTGGGGTTTAACCAGAGCTGGTCGACCCATTAGGCGACACAGGCCTACGGTACCATCTTCTCAGGGGACCTGAGTTAGCAAGCCAAGTTCACTTGGTCTTGGATGGTGTGCACTAAGGGGCGCTAGCGGTGAAGGAGCCGCATGGGCTTTGGCAAACCGTCCGTACTTCTCTATAGAGCTTCACACTCTGCCCCCAGACCCCGCCCACAGCCTCCACCCCAGAGGCCATACCTGGGGGGAGTCATCGAACAGCCTCTGGGCCAGGTGCGAGAGAACGTCGTCCACAGTCTTGCCGTTCCCGTACTGAACGACAGCGCCCGCGGTCTCGATGGCCGCCACCCGCACACGGGAGTGCTGGTGAGAGATGGTCTGCATCAGGGGCTTCACCAGACCCTCCGACTGCATGTGGAAGTGTTCTGTGTTAAACGAGAGGTGGCATCTGGGTCAAACGTGGTTCCCGTGAGGTGAGATAGAAGGCGTTCAAGGTAGGCACAGTCCCGACGTATCGCCATGAGTCACCATGAGTAATCGCCTTATTTTTGTATTGTTATCTCTGTCTGATATTTCATCCAGCACCATTTATATACACATTTAGGATTTAGGGGCTTTTGAGCTTAATGTTTGATTATATTCTGATTATATTCCAACCATCACAGATAAATCTAGTAATCATTTAACCACTTATTCTGGTCAGGGTCGTGGGGGGTGGAGTTTATCCCAGGCAGCGTAAGGCACAAGGCTGGGCTTTCTTTGCCATAGGGAGAACATGCAAACCCCACCCACACAGAGCAAACTCCACCCACACAGAGGGATTCAAATTTACACCACCACAACACCATTTACTCACACATGCACATCTATGGGTAATTTGGTAACTCCAATCAACCTCGTGTTTTTGGATTGTGGGGGGGAGCGGAGGACACGTAGGTAACTCCACAACAACCCCGGGAAGAACATGCAATCTCTACACACATGGAGCCAAGGCAGGGACTCGAATCCTCGTCCCAGAGGTGTGAGGCAACAGAGCTAATAGATATAATACATAATTTTGAATAGTTTATTTACATTTAGTTATTTCTAGATTCGGCAGGGCTGTAAATAAGCTGATCTAGAAACTTAATCATTACCAGCCACGAACTTGTATTTAACTGCAAGGACCAGCGCCACTGTGAAACCATGGCAACACACACTGGCGCGAGCCACCACGCCGATAGCGGAAGTGTGAGTTATGTGGGTTCTTCATAGACTAAATGAAATGTATACAATCTAGTGATCTAAAGCTGTTCATTACTATCTAATGTTTGCATGATGCGGTACTAGTGTCAGTAACCGCATATTTTAAAGGCTAATGTTCGCAAAAGCCGAAGGCTTCCTTCAGTTTAAGGCTTACCCGGTATACTTTTGGCGAAATTCACAGTACATTTACAGCTCTCCTTCTTTACGTCTGGAAAAGGGTCGAGGATTGTTCGCTGTAGTATTTTTATCATGTCGTCGAGGTAAGGCGCGAGGCAGCTCCCACACACTTCCACCACCAGGGTAAGCATCTCCAGCATGGCCAGCCTAAGCTCTTCCGCCGGCTCTAAGATTTCATTCCCACCCAGTCGCTGGGAAAGAGCGGGTATAAGATAAGGCAAAGATTCCTCTGGCTGCGGGACATTTCGAATGAAGTCAGCGATCATCTGTACAGCAGCCTCCCGGCATCTCTCCATTGGGTCTGACAGGCATTTCAGGAGTGACTTCAGAAGACACGCGAACACCTCCTGTAGCGCGACACTCGAGAGCCTTTTATCAAACGTCTCCTTTCGAATCGACTCCAGGGCTCTTTTTCTCGTGCTTTTGCTGTCTTCATTAAGACAGTTCAGATGTCGGGCCAGGGCTCGCAACACATCAGCTGCAGCACGTTCCTCTCCTACCTCCATAGCTGCCATTATGTCGTCATGGTGACCACTTACACTACGACAAACACAAACCATTTTCCGGCACGCCGTTATTCAAAATCACCCCAACTTTATTTACATTGGAAGTCGTTGTGTGATATGGTTAGGTATCTGGTTCGCGTTTGATGCACATGATGTGTGGTTTTAAAATGCGTTTTTTCCCCCATTTTTACTCATGCTTTTTCATTTCGATGTTAATTTAGCATGAATAATGCCGTTTATTGCCCAAATTGACCTGCAGGTCATTATCTAGCCTCATGTTGTGAGTTAGGCTTCATAAGGCTTCAGTACAAACAGTTTCAGCCCGTAATTCGCCTTAAAGATTACATAAACAAGACAGGAATAGACTGTATTGTAAGTCAAGTCGACGGATGCAGTAGATATTTGCTGGATGCAGGGATTTAGAAATAAGGTCAAATTAAGCCTTAGTATCTGTGAGACTTCATCATATTACAATTACCACTGGAAACCAAAAACAGACCAACATATCTTCTTCCTTTAAAAATCCTTTAATAATCTATCAGTGCTATATTAAAGTATATCTTTGAGTATTCTTAGTACATTTTGTATATTTATCTTTGAAGTAAACATGATTTAATCTTCCACCTGAATAATGAAGCAGCACGACGGTTTCATATAGATTATTTTACTTGTACAAACATTGGAAATTAATCTCAGTCACATAAAGTCTTGCGAATTGCATGGTTACGTGGCATCCATATCCTCCCTCATCCTTTACATGCACAGTATCTACGGCTTTGCTTGGCTACAGGCCGACTTGCACGCTGCCCCTAGAGTTTACACAAATACTCAGTCTGACGCAAAACAGTAACTACCCTAGGTCTGGCAGCACGTGGCGCGGGGCTGGAAAAAGCACATTAGAATATAAACAAGAAGGGAAAGAGAGTCAAGAACCCGGACGGCAGCCTTTCACAGTAAATACCCAAGACGGGGTTCAATCAGCCCTCGCCTGGCGCGAGAAAGTAGCGGTGCGGCGGACTGACGTCATAGGTACGGAGTCAGCGCGAGCTGAACGGAGCCAGCAGCTATACTGAGGATCCCCCGCACGGAGGACACCCCGCGTCGCCGGAAAGCATCCCACGGCATAACGGTAAAAAGATACAGGGAGCTTCGCTAGGGGCTTGGGCACGCAGAAAGCGAGCGGCTGCCGGTGATGCGCACCTCCTGGATGCTGGCGCAGCCCCCAGCATCCGCGGTCTGTGCGTCTCTCTCCTCCTCCTCTTCCTCCTTCAGCGCCTGATCACCCCGAGCTGTGCACAGTAACGAGGCGCGCCGACATCTGGGCTATTACCGGCGAAAGGGAGACATTCCCTGGGTAATGTGGAAATGTTAAGGAGGGCGCAACCTGCTAACAGGCACCACTTAGTTCTCACTGTCTCATCCGAAAGCTGAACTGTATATACAATGTAGATATGACTGCATGAATCCGTGTACATCATAGCGGCAAAATTTGTTTCGACTTAAATGGCGGAAGTAGCTAAGACTATGGTGTATGTGCATTTTTATTAGCGCTTATTAACTGATTGGTTTACCGGCAGTTTTAGGAATCAGTGATGTTTTCATTACCCACTGATCCATATCACCACGATCTGAGATATGAGCATAATTAAAGTCGTGGGCGTTATGCGTTTTATTGGCTTCATTAATGGTGCCAACGGGACGGTTTTGTAGTAAGATGCTTTACCGGCTTGTCACATTAACATATATAGAAACAGATTTTTAGCTTCAGAATATTAAATGTTGTCAGGCTGCGCTACAAATTTGTGTCAATCACCATCAAGCAGGTGACAGGCGGAGAGGCATCACCTTCACCTGACGCTTTAAAATGAAAAGCAGAAAAGCTGCATTTGTTTGTGGGTAAGCGAAGGGGTGAATTTCCAGTGAACGCAATCCCCCTCCTCTTTTTCAGCAGCAGAGATAAGATGGCCACCTCCTCCTCCAATGTGGAAGAAGATGAGAGTCTAAAGGGCTGCGAGATTTTCGTGCAGAAGCATAACATCCAGCAGATCCTGAAGGAGTGCATCGTGAACCTGTGTATAGCCAAGCCCGATTGTCCCTTGAAGTTCCTGCGGGAGCATTTCGAGAAGCTGGAGAAGGTGGGCGCCGTGCTGCGGCTCCGTCGGTCCGTCCGTGCGCGATGCGCCTCTGCCTGTTCTCACGTCGTCTGTGCTGGGGCTCACGTTTGTTTACTTGAAGTGTTAAAATTAACTGTTGCCTTTTTTTAAGCTGTTTTATGTGTAAGCCATGTCTTCCGATTCACTGAGGCTGTTTGCTGTATTTTAAGCATTTAAGCGAATGTGAAATGCAGACAAAAAAATATTTTCATATTTTATTAGTGCAGTTGTCAAGAATATTTTCCTGCACGTTTGAGGATGCAACAATTACTAACATCTATTGAAACGTGTCCCTCTCCTTTGTGAATATTTTTTTCTTTTAATTTTGTTGTTCTGAATTTATAACAGCTGCTCCTTAAGGTATCAGAGACTCTGCACATGCTGCCTGTTGCAGTGTGTGTGTGTGTGTGTGTGTGTGTGTGTTTGTTTTTAATGCCACTTGAGCTGCTCATCGATCTGGAGGTGTGTGACAGTCTTTTGACTGTGACTTTGGAGTGTATAATGCTGAAGTGAGGGACTGATTTGAGCAATGGAACAGTCTCAGATGTGCTATATATATATATATATATATATATATATATATATATATATATATATATATATATATATATATATATTGATGACAATGTATATCATTGCTGGCCAGGTTGACATCAAGGATGGTTGTGTGATTTTAAAAATATACATGTATATTTTAAATGCATGGTTTACTGGGGGGTGGTGATTATTTTATCTGGGTACCTTTAATCATGGAGCTGAGAGCTTTGGGCACGACGCACACACAGGACAAATGGGGAGGGGGGCCAGCAGCACTGCAGGTGCACCTATAAAAGGTCCTCTGTTTCCCCTGTGTCCACAGGGGGGTATGCGGTGCGTGGGGGGGTGGGACAGGCACAGTGTGGGATCAGCATGACACCAACGTGACTCTGCTCGTGGGCACAGATGTCGAAATTAAGGACAGCTCTCCTTTGCCCTGCACAAACAGGGAGCTGGGGCGGGGGGGACCTTTAAATCAGGACGGAGGGATTAAATAAGCATGGGGGGGCTTAACTGAGCCTGCCACTCATTTGGTTTTAAATGTAATTGTTTTATTATCTTAAAATGCTGTGGAAGATGATTTGCCCTTGTGCTGGGTGACCGGTCACTTTCAGCATCGAGCTGTTTGCATTGCAGGGTTCTTCATTACCTCCACGACAGACAGAGAACTGCTCATGAAGGTATTTAGATAAAGGGGTTCCCAAACCCTGGTCTGCGGACTGGTACCAGACCGTGGCCAGTATTCCACCAAAATGCGGAACACTGGGCGTGGAGTTCAGATATGTTGCTATATTCCGTATATTACAGATTGCCACAAAATGAAAAATAAAATGCAGTGTATTTCCATATATATTGCAAATTTACCCCCCAGCCTCCTGCTATACCAGTCTATGAAATGTCTGTACGCCGCGAATCCGTGCGCAGGCGTCATAAGGCCGGGAACTCCGAATTTAGCTGCTTCTTTTTTTGAACATGTTTTAGACAGTTTTAGTCTGATTAAAAATAAAAGGCATCCAGCTTCCTGCCGCTTATCCTGCTTTGGGGTGTGTGTGTGTGTCTGTGAGCACAGGAGAAGGGTCCAGCCTAAATTGGATGCCAGTCTATAGCAGGGCACATGTGCTGTCACTCACCATGACGTAGGTCTTTACTGGGCTTCAGCCCCCCTGAAAAATCGTGTCTCTGTATCCCTTCAGCGATGTCATCCTGCGGGCTGACCCATCCTAAGGGTCGATTGCTAGACTTGCCTCTGCATTGTGGGCGGTTTAGAGCCATCGGTCAGCCTACCTGCATGGGCAGAAGGTGCAATCTTCACACTCGCAGAGAGGGGGAGGGGGGGGTACCCTAATCCCCAGCCCTGGATGCTTCGCACACACAGCCGTCGAGTGACGGAGGAGCATCATGCTACTGCGGCGAATGTCGCAGCCTTAAAATGCTGCCTGTCGCCATGGTTACTAATGCTAAGCCAATCGACAAGTACGATGCTGGTTTTGTTGTTGTCTTTCGGCTTGTCAGGACCGAGCCGGGCAGACGGTGTGCTGGTGTGCGACCGAGTGAAGGTAACCGCAGGATACAAATACTAATCCATGCCCACCCCCCCACCCCCGCATGTCCAAGGACGGCACTGTGGAATGAGCTTTGATCCTCCGCTCCTTATCCCCCACATGTGATTCTAGACAACGGCCTGTTTGAGTGGCAATCTGGCCTCGGGATTCAGTGCCGTGAGCAGCGTGGTCACGCCGGTCACGC